GTTAACCAAGAATCCCTGGCATGACTCCTTTCTCAATATCTTCTGGGCTTGTATAGCTGATATAAGACGAGGTAGGGACTTGAACTTTGCTCCAAAGAAATGGAATTCTTCCTCTCCTGGTCTATGAAATCGCACTTCTTTTTCGTGACATCGAATGGTTGCATGATTAAGTCCCAACCAATCCATGCCTAAAATAGCATCGAAATCATTCGTTTCCAAGAGGTATAAGTCTGCTTCCAATATTTTTCCATCAATCTCCAACTTCATAGATTTAGTCATCTGGTATGTGCAAAGAGTTTTTCCTAACGGGATGCTAACCTCTAATTCATTATTCGTTCTAACACATGCAAAGTTGGACCTAGCGACGAAGGATGCAGATATAAAAGAATTGGTAGCCCCAGAATCAAAAAGTACGTAAGCAGGCACATTGGATAATAACAGAATACCTGTTTTTGTAATTATAGTGTTAGACTAGCAACCAAAGGACAGGAATGAAAAGATGTTTAGTCCTAGGTAAAAAGAACATAGGTAGGTATGTAAAAGAATTAATAAATACCTGCTATCACATTCTGATCCTGCTCCGCCTCATGCTGATTCAGTACGAAAACTCGGGCCTTTCCTTTCTTATTTTGGTCTTGATCATCATCCTTCTTCTTTGGAGGCTCTGGACAGTTGAGAACGATGTGTCCGGGCCTACCACACCTAAAGCACACGTTCTTCTCGAACCAGCATTCACCCTTGTAGAGTTTATTACACTTAGGACAGGGGGTAATACTTCCACTCGTCCCACCAATACGAATTCCTGTGCTTGGCCTTTTATTTTTCTAGTTGAGTCTGTTCTTGCTTTGATCACTCCACTTCCTTTTCCCCAACATCTCCTTGCTCTGCTGGGCATACTGTTCAAATGTGGTCCTCTATTATGAAATAGAATGAGCCCTCTCCAACATTTCACGATATGAGGTGAAACAATGGGACATAATGATCATGCCAATCTTAGGGCGCAGTCCATTCTCGAACCTCCTAATCTTCTTAACTTCTGTATCCACCAAGTGTAGGGCATACCTTGAGAGTCGCTCAAACTGTCTTTCATAATCAGTAAGTGACATGTTCGCCTGTCTGAGCTGTAGAAATTCTGATTCCTTGAAGTCCCTCAAAACCTGTGGGAAATATTTTGCCATCACTTCGTCTTTAAACTGCTCCCAAGTCAGATTACGTTGCTGCTCTTCCGTCCTTGTACGTGAAACAGATTCCCACCAGTGACCTGCTGCTCCAATCAACATAAATTCTGCGCATAATACTTTCTGTGCATCCGTACAAGCAATGTGTCGAAATATGCGCTCCAGGCCTCTTATCCACTCTTCGACAACTAGTGGTTCAGAATTACCGTCGAAAGTGAAAGGCTTGTACCTACGAAACTGCTCAACCACTGAGACAGCTCCAAGGGCAAAATGCGGTGCATTCTACTGTGGCGGTGCATTTTGTGGTGGAGCTGCTTGATTTTGCCGGCTCAACTCTTGTACCGCTCGTAGTAAATCACGCATCAAATTTGTATGAGTAAGTGGTGCCATTTCATAAAATTTAATATGAAGTTACGATCACATTTAAGCACTAAGTCTATCACGTTATACATATTTTTTTTATCGTAATACATATCATCGGTTTAGTGGGCAAAAAAAGTGCATGTCTTAAAGATTTAGAAGTAGGCAATCTAAAATATTTAAGTTATGCAAAACATCTAAGTGTATTCATTTTCTTA